ATAGCGTAACTTGTAGTGCCTTCGTCTTTCTCTTTTGTATAAATTAAACCTTGGCTTTCCATCTGAATCCATTCCTGCACACCTGATGCGCCATCTTTATCTATCCGGCGAAATGATCGTCGTGTGAAACTGCTGCTTGTTACCGCTGCTTATTGTCCATCTAAATTGTCATAGTCGAAGTACAGTGCTGTTTGACCGAGGCGGTTGGTTTTTCATGATTCTCGTTCGCATAGCTTCCCCTTTTATTGATCTTTGCATCTTTTGAGCCACACAAGTTCTGTGGAATGTTGCTTTGCGTTCTTGAATCGTGGTTTGACCGTATTGTCCAATGATCTTGCCAGTATCGTCATCGACATGCATGAACATCCGCCACCGTCGTTCACAGCTGAGACGTTCAGCTCGTGCTTATCTTGGTTGCGCTCACCTTCTCCTCCTTTTGTTATTTCTATAACTTAGAACCTTCCACGTTGGAAGGCTGTAGGAGTGCGCATCCAAGATGTGCAAGAGCGCTGTTAGCCAGTTAGTTGTAGAACGTCAGTACCGTCGGTCAGTGTCGTGCAATGTTAGCGCATGAGCTAATTGTTTAGTAACTGGTCGTGTACGTGGACAGTACAGCGTAACTTGTAGTTCCTTGGTCTTTCTCTTTTGTATAAAATAGTACTAATAATAGCACACTTCGCCTAAGCAATCATGGAGGGAACTCTCAGCTTGAGCTGGTTTTGCTCGCGGCTGCAACGCACGGGGTAGTGAACCCAGGACAGAAGCGGACCAGGCATCATGACTTTGCACATCTAACGTTATGCTGCTTCATAGTAGAGCACTAAATTAAGAAATTCAGTGTTTTTCCGCCTTCTGAGCATCATCAGCAAGGTGTAGTAGCTGCTGATACTGATTCCTACTCGGGTGTCGAGTTGCACCGTTTCTTCCAGTCTGTCTTGTCCGCTGCTTGTTGTCAGCACCTGGAAAGGTCTTCCATGGTCTTCATTGGCACATCCAGCGTATTCAGCTGCGCGTAATGATAAGATGCACAGAAATGAAAGTCGGGAGGGCAGGGACACTGTTGAGATTCATAACTGACTGAAGATGTCAAGAAAACAAACGACCATATAGAACACACCAGATGCCATATTTGCAGCTGACAATGAATCATTTTAGAATTACGAGCCTCTTTGGCTTCTTATCTGGCCTCTGATCACCACGTTTATCAGGGTGAGTGGACTGTCTGGCTTAGCTAGGCTACACACTTAGGCACCACGTCACCTTACCTGACAAGAGTTTTGGCTCACCTCGTTGCAAGGTATGGTTCTTGGCGTGTAGGTTCTTCAGAAGACCGACTGGTGCACTCTGAAACCTTGCAAAGCAAATCGATTTAATCAATAGGACTTCTTTCTCGTCTGGGAGGCAGGTGAACCACTGGCTTGAAACGATGGTCTCTGCAACGCACTTCTATGGTTCACCTTGTCTAGCTTACTACGGTACAATGATGAACAGTTCTCATCTCTACCTACTACAATCACTGGTTCAGGCTTGGGAGATATAAAAGTTTCAGGCTTGGCAGCCATCTCAACTTCAGGCCCTACATATTCCAAGGGATCCCTGGTCAATCCTCCATACACACTGTTTTTTCCCAGTTGATGCTCCATTAGTACCAACAACAGCCTTACTGGACAGCTGAACTCGGGCCCTTCCGCGTCCTTTTGGCGGAAGATGACGACGAGCGTTCCCCACAGACTGGATTTGTCTCGAAGAGGTATTACATATTACACTGTACAGGATTTATGTCGACGACGTTTCACTGGGTGGCTGCGACATACACCCGGCGTTCACGTCCACACTGGCAATAGCGTGTACAGATGAGTGTGTGTCACGCTGGCTCTCCGCACACACAGAGATTTCGGAAAACTTGGGTCTGGAGACTGGGGTGCTACCTGTGGATGATCTGAATGAAGCATCCAGGGCAGCAGCTTCTTCACGATCACGCTCTCTTTTATAAATGCTCCTTTCTTCCTATCTTTCTGTACGGGGCCACTGCTTTGCATTTCTTGCTTAGTAAATCTGCTGTACATGCACTAGAAATACATCATGAACGTGTGTTGAAAATTATTTTTTGTAAACCCTCTCTTTTCCCCTCTACTGATCTATAGCTTGGCATCCACCAGCCCCATCCCTATCCTGTCGCCAAGACAGTCATGCGTTCTGATCCATCGTATTTTAAGGGGGCAGCCTACCCATAAATTTCATATGGCATTCAATTGACCGTAACTTTGGTTTTTCTCAATGGATTTGAGTGAAATTTTGACCACACACTCCTGCCACTATGCTGGCCCTCAGGATATGATTTACAAGTTCTTGCGCCTCACTGACAGGCTTTCCAGGCCGGAAAAACTCAAATTTCCTGCATAGTGCCACGGTGTGCGAGCCACCCAGGAGCCAAACAAATGCATTTACAATTTTTTCACATTTTCGTGCTCATTCTGTTCGTGCGCGGGACTCAAACCTAGAACAAGTCCAGAAACAGCCATGGGTGATGGGGTAGGGCCCCTCAACGAGGCCCTGGAATCTGTCACAACGGAACGAGTGGGCGTTCTCTCACACACTCCCACAGACCCAAGTCAATTTTTGATTTTTTTAGGTTTAGCACGTGCTACGAGGTCGTACCTTTGATACAACATCCAGTGCTGGGACCTCCACAGCAAGCTATTTCCACAGCGCTGCACACCAAATCCAGGATACCCTCAGAAGCCGGCAAAGACTACCACTCACGTTTCACTACTGCCTAGTACTGAATCCTACCTGACTTCTTGACACGACTCAAACTTGCCAAAGTCACTTAATCAAACTTCAACTACAATAATCAAGCCACATATCTGCAACGTCACGAGGGTGCTGGCAAAAGTCCTGCTGCACGGCGGCGGGCTTCGCCCGCCGCCGTGCAGCCCAATACGTGGCTCAAATACCTGATTTTTTGGACAATTTTCAGAGTATTTGCAGCTATTCATGCTCTTTCAACTGACGTAGCACTCAATATTAATTTACAAATTCGATCTTTCAGCGAATTTTTGGGTAGTCTGCCACCTTAACTGAACAGTGTCCTTGAACATCTCAGCAAGTTATTGGTTTACTTTCGCACGGGACACTCGCAATGGCATAGTACTTCCCAGAGCTTTGTCAACTATGCTTACCAAATCTCCTATTTTCTCTGCATACTCGTATTGGCCCCAGCTGCCCATGAAAATGAAAGCAATATCCAATATTAGACAGTTCATAGACCATGTTAAATGTCATGCCACCTTGTAGGCAGGCTCGCCTCTTTTGCTAGCTTATCTCGCCGCTCCCAACCACGGTCAACACAGTGATAAAATTTCACCCCGCTGCTGCATTCTTTTCTTTCTTTCTTTTTCATTCGCTGGTAGCAGAGCGCTAACCCAGAAACAGCTTGGTAATCAACACATAGCTAGGAATAGACATGCATCAATAGTCACAGGTGACAGTAAACAGACCTCGAAAAATAGTCTTGAATTTGATTCCATTTGCACATTAGTGGTAACCAATTTTGCCGTTTAGACAAATCTGGAAACTGGCATGCCCCTGATGGCGTGGTCTGCTGGCTAAAGTGCACCAGTATGGTTGCTTGTAAAATTTTAATGACATTGCTTCAGGCGTGGAAGACACTTCCTATATGCAGTCTGCTTGGTCCTCAGTACCTTCAGTGCCAGTTTTTCTAGTTTTCATCTCTTCTCGCTCCACATACACCGACATAACGACATGGACCCAGACAACATGGACAGGAGCACACAGAGTGATGGTAGTAGGCCGCAGCCAGACGTGAACCGTGATGCAGAAGAAAACTAGGAGCAGCAACAGGGGGACAGACCCCAGGAGGAAAGAATGAGTACATTCAGCTTACATAAAAGAGCCAGGACAAGCACCACTTGGGACCGTCAGATTAATTTCTCTGGACCGAGCCAGCCGGGAAAAAAACCTCGCGCCGACAGACGCACGAATGAGGGAAAAAACCGGGTGTATAACCCCAAGTGGCAACATGGCAGCGTGAAAACAGGCACAACATATCTACAGCCAATAAAGAAATGGAAGAAGATGGGCAGACATGAAGGGTGGGAGGGTGTAGACACTGGTGAGGCACAAAACACTGACTGAAGGAGTCAGACAAAAAGAACAGCAACAAAAAGAGAACACATTAGATTCCATATTCGCAAGAAAAACAATTTTGGTGCGCGAGAAATCATTTCTCGCCTCACTCGCTCCGCTCGGCCGGCGAGAGATTATAACATCACTGCTTTGCGTATTATACTGATTCAGGCTGGCCGGACACATCTGTACTTCAGCTTTGGTTGTGCCCTGGTTGTTCGGTGGGAGTCCTGTTCGGCTTACTCATCACTTGCACATGTCCAGAAAACAGTGCGGACTGGCCCTTTTTCAGGGTTTCGTTCTTCGCGTGTACCTCATTGACAATGCCGAGTAACGCACCTTGAAGCCCTGCAAAGCGATTGGATTCAGGCTTCTTTCTGGCCTGAAGGGACGGCGACTCACTCGATGGGAACAACGCACTCTGCAACGAATCACTATCACTATCCCTCATCTTCTGCTTAGATCCAGGTTGGTCGGTGGGAGTCAACGTCATTCGTACATATGCGGTAGTAGGCGGCCCTGTTGATGCTCCACCATTTCCAGCACCAGCCATGTTTGGAGGCTGTGCTCGGCCTCTTCCGTGTCCTTTTGGCGGGAGACGACAACGAGCATTCCCCGCAGACTGGAGTTGCCTCTCTTTCAAGGTTTCGTTCTTGGCGTGTATTTCAGTTACAAGGCCGAGTAGCGCACTCCGAAGCCCTGCAAACCGATTGGATTCAGGCTTCTTTCTGGCCTGAAGGGACGGCGACTCACTCGATGGAAATGAGGCACTCTGCAACGAATCACTATCACTATCCCTCATCTTCTGCTTAGATCCAGGTTGGTCGGTGGGAGTCAGCGTCATTCGTCCATATGCGGTAGTAGGCGGCCCTGTTGATGCTCCACCATTCCCAGCACCAGCCATGTTTGGAGGCTGTGCTCGGCCTCTTCCGGGTCCTTTTGGCGGGAGACGACAACGAGCATTCCCCGCAGACTGGAGTTGTCTCAAGGATATGGTAGAAGTTAGACTTGATGGCTGTGACCCAGTTGATGCTCCAACATCACCATCTGACGCTTGTTTCTACGACATTCAAGAGAAAACAAAGGGCAAAGACAGGCAATTCAGTGACCCAGTCGAAATTCAGTGCATCACTTTACCACATTGGTTGCGATGACGTCATATTGACAGTGATTCTCTTACCCTCATGACATCAATCAAAACTGTGCAGAACTATTCAGAAGTACTTATAGATTATAATTTATACAGTCATGTACATATCCTGCATTTGCATATAACGCCATTTTGCATGTGTATTGTTGCGAAAGTACAGTGAACAAGACTTTAGTGTACTTTGTATTGTTGAGGCAGCGAAATGGAATAATAAAAACCAAAGCAAACAGGAGTGTGTGTCTGTGTGTGTTTGTGGGTTTGAGTGTGTATGCGCGTGCGTGTATGTGTGTGAGTGTGTGTGTGCGTGTGAGTGTATGGTTGTGTGTGTGTGTGTGTGTGTGTGTGTGTGTGTGTGTGTGTGTGTGTGTGTGTGTGTGTGTGTGTGTGTGTGTGTGTGACTGTGTGTGTATGTGTGAGTGTGTCAGTGTGTGTATCTGTTTTGTGTTTTTGTGTGTGGATGTGTGTTACTCTGTGTGTGTGTGTGTATGTGTGTGTGTATTGTGTGTGTGTGTCTTTGGTCTGCTATACATACTACTACTGCATACGCATATTGTAGACAGGGCATCATTGGTCACATAACCAAACCAAATTTCGACGTAGAGAGTGGAATACGTGCTGGCATCTACGCTATAGTCATTTCTAGACTTGGACGTGCACACAAGTTGAGCAGGTGCTTACAATGATGGTTACTAGTGGGTGTAGGGTGTGGCACATCAGTGTTGAAATCTCCAAGCACAATAAGTCTACAGTCGCTGCTTGTTACGACCTCAAGATGCTGGCTGTACAGGTCCCAAAAATGAACAGCAGTACTGGGTGAACGGTACACACTGCACACAACAAATTCCGTGGCCTTTGTCGCTAATACGTACACGGACAAACAAGCACTCCACTCCTGCGTCAGCAACTGATACTGACACTGAGTGAATGTCAGAATGGACGTAAAGGTAAACTCCACCAACCTGTTAATCTAGGTCTCTGCGGTACAGATTATAGCACGGAATATGCACGCTGGAGTTAGGTATGCTGCTAGCAATATGAGTTTCGTTTTAAATAGATAAGATGTGAATTTTATGAGCATACAAGAGGCGATGGATGTGGTGTATTTTATGGCTAAGACTACATGGGTTGATATGATCAATGGTGTGGTAGCTTACCGTAGGTAGGTCCGGTGCTCTCAGTACGCGAGGAACAAATGACGCTGCATTTGGATTCAGCGGTACGTGTGACTGGGCTAACGCGTTCTTCGACAATAAATTTCTTAGACCTTGAACGCCACGCTCCTATGATTGAACCATGAAAAACAAACAAACGCAAGGAGATCATCAGAATCAACTACATCCGCTTGTGTTTACTCACCCTCAGTGCAGTTATACCAGTTGCTAGCGTCGGAGATACGGATCTACAGTTGCAAGTCGCCTGTGTCGCTGTTCAGTCATCCTGCCAGTTTGTTCTCCAACAGTACACTGATAGTTCATTTGCACTGTAAAATTTGCAGGCCTACTTCCAGTGTAAATGTGAAAATGGGGCATCGTGAACGTTGCCGTTATACGACTCGCTCTTACAAGTCAGTCTTTATACAATGTCTGGCCTTGGAAAATTTATGATTTCATTGCTATCACGTTCGGTCTCATTTTCTCTGTGCTGCGCTGATGAGCCCACAAATTACGCAACAGTTCTGTTCGCAGATTCAGTACAATGCCATGTACATGGAGATGAGCACATTGACCATCTAACTCTAAAACTAGCAAAGGAGTAATACTGCACCAAACTACATATGGTGCACATTCCCTTTCAAGTGTAAGCACAAGATGGTCATTATCTACATAGTGTCAGTAACCAAGATTATTCATTTATTCAAAAGCATTCGATCTCGAGGGCACCAGATAACTGACACGCAACTGCTAAATATCTTATTGGTGACAACATCTTCCCACGAGCCATTTTGGAACATAAAATACACGGCAGCAGAGTGCAAGATATGAAGAAGAAAAAAAACAAAGCCTCAAACTCATGAGAGTCAGATGACGTTTGAATACTCAATAAAAGCAGTCGCTGAGAACCTTGTTTGAAGGAATGAAAATGTACTCACCTGAAGGCGGGGAGGGTCACTGTCACTATTCCGCGGTGTTCTCTTGGATACGTCCATTTCACAATACCTGGTGCTGACAGAGGGCCTGCTAAACAAATTTTTCAAATAGCAAAGTGCACGTAGATCAGCTCTATACACGCTGTAGATCTACAACAAAACTAGTCTCATGAAACTACAGGTCAGAACTGTAAACAGCTAGTATTGAATCAACACCAAACGGAACCGATTTCTTCTTCACTTCTGACTTGTGTAACGTAACTGCGAGAATGCTAGTTCCTGCGCTCACCTTTATACCAGGTTTTAGGCGTGGGTAAAGCACGCCCGCACGACCCGCGACGACTAGAATCTGAGCGTACATGTACGTGCAAGCCATAGAAAGGAGCAAGATCAAAGTATCCCACAGGGCCTCGCCATTATTGTTTGTCCATTGTGCTCTACGTTGCCAAGGGCCCATTGACGTCACACCATTAAAATAGTTAACAGCTTGACGAGTCACGTACATCTATTGAGTATTGTAGATCTAGGTGAGCTTGAGTGCTTTATCATAGTTATGCAGTCTATGTCAGCTCGCGCTGCACTTCACCCTCTCAGAAAACAGATCCATCATGACTGCATCCTGCATGTAATGCGAAGTGTGTGTGGTGATGGGGATCCTAGGGCGACCCGCCGATGTGGTGATCTTGACTTTTGCCTTAATCGCTTCAAAGTCCGTGAAGATTCTAAGCATCGCCGAATCGTGCGTGGATTGCACGAACTCAGGGTCCAGAAGTCAAACGTGTCAGAAAAAGTCGAGATTGGAAACTAGGCTTCTGCCGTTCGGCAGATCATTTTCACAAACGTAGCAGTCAAGAAGAAGACAGTCTTGTTTCGTGTTGAGTTATTCCAGTATTACTTCTGTACTATCCGTGCGTGTACTCGTGTACGAGACTAGTTTTCCTTTACATCTACAGCGTGTGTAGAGTAGATCTACAGCCCGTGCATACAGTGACAGTACAGACACTCTTCACCAGCCACGCTACGAATGCGAACCATTTAGCTTTCGAAGTCTCCGTAGTTCCGCTGTTTCATCTCCCAGTGATTATTGTAGTTTATGCTACAACTAACTCAGTCTTAGTGACACCTTGCAACAAGAGCTTCCGCAGTCGATTTGTTATCAACACGTATTTCGAAATGAAAGTATTGGAGAGACCAACGCGCAGAAGCGACAATGACCAACCTGGGCATCACGTAAGTAAAGTTCATTTCATTAGAGAGGTTGCTCACAACTAAGATTCATAAGATTTCAATCGTCCGGGTTCGAGTAACGAAAGTTGCTTCAAAGATCTGTCCAAATGCGACCGAAACAGACCAGATTTATGAAAATGTTTTTCATCCCCAAGAGTACTAAAATTCTAATATTTTGCAACTCCTTTTCTTGGCTCCGCTGCGTCAACCCATTACGAAAAGTAACAGTTCATGAGCTGTGCGTGACATCTAATCTTGGATGCCCACTCCAACACTCCTTATGTTATTTCCATGACTTAGAATCTTGCAAGTATCAGTTAGTTGAAAGGCTGTTGGAGTGCGCATCCAAGGTATGCTAGCGCTGTTAGCCATTTAGTTGTAGAACAACGTGGTAGTCAGAGGCCAGATAAGAAGCCAAAGAGACTCGTAATTCTCGATTATTCATTATCGGCTGCAAATATGGCATGTGGTGTGTTCTTTATCGTCGTTTCTTTTCCTGACTTCTTCAGTCAGTTATGAATCTCAACAGTGTCCCTGGCTTTTTATCTGGCCTCTGATTACCACGTTGATCATGGTGAGTGGACTGTCTGGCTTAGCTAGGCTACACACTTAGGCACCACGGTCGCCTTACCTGACAAGAGTTTTGACTCATCTCGATGCAAAGTCTTGTTCTTAGCGAGTACCTCCTTCAGAAGACCGACTAGTGCACTCTGAAAGCCTGCAAAGCAAATGGATTAGGACCTCTTTCTCGTCTGGGAGGCAGATGACCCACTGGCTGGAAACGACGCTCTATGCAACAAGCTTCTACGGTTCAATTTGTCTAGCCTACTAGGGAAAAATGATGGCGAACAGTTCACATCTCTACCTGCTACAATCACTGGTTCAGGCTTGGGAAATATAAAAGTTTCAGGCTTGGCAGCCATCTCAACTTCAGATTTTACGGAGGTCATTGTTATAGACCCTATTTGTTCCGGGCTATCCCTGGCCAGTCCTCCACACACACTGGATTTCTTCCCAGTTGATGCTCAAACATTATCAACAACAGCCTTGCTGGACGACTGTACTGGGACCCTTCCGCGTCCTTTTGACGGAAGATGACAACGAGCGTTCCCCTCAGACTGAATTTGTCTCGAGGACGTAATAGATGTTTCACTTGACTGGATTTGTGTCGAGGATGTTTCACTAGATGGCTGCGACATTAACCATCTCGCTGCTCTACACTGGCAATACTTTCTGTAGATGAGTGCGTGTCAGGCTTGCTCTGTGCACTCACAGCGCTGTCGGGAACGTTGGGTCTGGAGACTGGCTTACTACCTGAGCATGATGTGAGTGAGGCATCCAGGGCAGCAGCGGCTTTACGATCATGCCGAGCAATCTTGTACTCCCGCCAAACATCTTCCCTCTTTTGGCCATTTTCTTGAGGAGATCTTCATTATCTACCCGTTGTGTGATAATAGATCCTCCAACACTAGCAACAACAGCCTTTCCGGAAGACTGTACTCGGACCCTTCCGCGTCCTTTTCACGGAAGATGACAACGAGCGTTCCCCTCAGACTGGATGTGTCTCGAGGAGGTAATCGATGTTTCAATGGATGGTTGCGACATTGTCCTGGCTTCCTGCTTCACACTGGCATTACATTGTTCAGGTGAGTGTGTTTCAGGCTTGCTCTGACAAGGTGCACACACAGCACTGTCGGAAACGTTGGTTTTGGAGACTGGCGTGTTACCTGCAGATTATCTGAATGAGGCACCCATCAAAGAACCGTCCTCACACTCCCGTTGAGCCTACTCTTATTTTCGCCGCCTCTCTTCGAATATCTTCGTTGATTTTATAAGATTATAGAGAAAACAATGGAAAAGATAGGGAAAACATTGTCCGAGGTAGAAGTATAATTTCATTACTTCACTACAGTGGGTGGGGTGACGTCAAATTGACAGTGATTCTGTCTCCTTCATTATGTGAATCCCAGCCGTGTAGAAATGGGTATAACTGATCACAGGGAATTGCATAAGTACACAGGACCGCGGAGAGACTACCAGTGTAGCCTTTGTCGACCTCAGCAAGGCGTTTGATCGCGTCCAGCATCAACAGTTACTCATTGCGCTCCATGACATGGGTGTTCATGCAAGCTCCCTGCGTTGGTTTGCGTCGTACCTCGCCGGGAGATCTCAGCGTGTCGTCACGCAAGTCAGCCAGTCTTCAAGTCTTGCAGTGTTTCGAGGAGTTCCTCAGGGAAGTATTTTAGGCCCTACCCTCTTTAATGTCTACCTGAGGGACCTTCCCCGGCTTGCGGAGACAGCGGGTTCAAAATTACTGATGTTCGCAGATGACAAGACAGTCTACTCTAGTGATCCGTCGAAGGCGCGTTCCGAAGCCAAGTTGTCATCGGCACTGGAGATACTAAACAACCACCTTGACTCCATTGGTATGCAGATAAATACCGACAAAACCGTTGTCATGCAAATCCATCCCAAACGTGCCACAGGGAGTCAGCAACAACAACAAAGGCAACAACTGCAAATCACCTTGTCAAATGTTACGCTAGGGGAAGTGGAAAGCACCAGATGCTTAGGAGTCGTTGTTGACAATAAGCTGTCCTTTGACCAACACATTAACAAAGTCGTCCGGAAAGCCTCACGGAAGATCGGTGTACTGCGTCGATCTTTCCGCCAGATGAACCTGTTTGCCCGCCGTACTTTCGTTGTCGGTGGTATTCAGCCTGATCTAGAATATGCTCTCCCTGTATACCTTTCGTTTATATCCGCTAAAAATAGAAACAAGCTAGCCTCACTCCACCGGCGCGCTGTACGAGTTGCTTGTGGCGCATCACCCCAAGCTAATATCACGCCACTTCTTCACCACCTCAATGTTTCCTCTTTCCAATATCGATCAGTATTTTTGTTCCTTGTATTCATTTTCCACTGTTACTGTATTAAGCCGGCTGTTTGCTTGCAGTCCCTCTTTCCCATCTGTACGTCTACCCGAACTACTCGCGGCTCTACAACTCATAACATGAGTATCAATCGCTATAGATCTATGTCTGGCTTTCTGTCCTTTTCAAGTAAATCGGCTCTTGTTTGGAATTATTTACCAGACGACCTGAAGTCCTGCACTACTATCGCAGATTTCCGCGTCAAATTGGCTATTTGGCTAAAAGACAGCTTAACTCTTAATCATTGTTGTGATTTGCTTTCAAGCAATGTGCATAATCAGTAACTTTTGATGTTGCTGTTTTAGTTTTTTTGGTTTCCCGTTCTCGGGGCCTTCTATTCGGTACTCTTTGTAGTTGTACTTCTGTACTGTTGAGCTATCCGAATTCAAAGAAACATTAAAAAAAAAAAAAAAAAAAGTACACCCATCAATGCAGGTGTGTATGTATATGGATGTGCATGCAAATTGTACCATTTCGATTTCAAATTTGACAGTGGAAAGGGGGATGCGTGTTGGCTATTTGGTCCACAATAATACAGTGAAACCTGGTTAAGCGACCACCCCAAGGTGCGAGCAAAAGGAGTCGTTAAAGCCAGGTGGTGTTTAGAACCAGATCCCACAGTAACTGTGGGTGCATGGAGAAACGGTCGTCAACAGCAGGTGGTCGCTAAAACCAGAGGTCGCTTACACCACGTTTTACTGTAGTTCGTTTACAAAAATTGGACTTTCGCTTCGCCACTTTTTTGAACACTCAGCAGTACTTCTTCGAAAAACTAAAAAATATTCAGGCAATTTCGGTTAATGGTGGCAGCCTGGTCGTAAAATCCCTGAAAAATCGAATTTGTAAATTCATATCGAGTGCTACATCAGTTGAAAGAGCATGAACAGCCGCA